CCCCCCCCCTTCCTCACACCGCCATCCTTCGCTTCCTCTCCCTCCTCGCTGGTGCTCCCGGGGATGACCGGGTGGTTTCGGGGGGCAGAGCCCCGCGGGAGGTCGACCCCTTCCCCGACTCCTCTTTTCTGCCCCGGCCCGGTGCTCGGCGCTGGACCCGCAGCGGCCTCTTCTCCTGTGCCGGCCCGGCTGCGGGTGAGGCGGCGGAACGGGCTGGAGCGTTGGTTTGGGGAAGAAAACAAGAGGCGAGGCTTGACGTGGAGCAAACGGCAAAAAGGCCAACCCAATATTGATAGAAAAAACCTCTAAATACAGGTTATTTCAGGTGGCGGGAGGCCCGCTGCCGGTGAGGAGCCCTCCAAATGAAACGTGGTCTGTGCACCAGCAGAGCATCCCCCGTCCGTAGGGCCACATATGATCTTGCAGGATATAAGGCATGTGGGCAGCCGGACCTGTACGTCCCTCTCTCCCTCCTTTCCTCGGCCAGTAGCAAGAAATAATGCTGTTAAATTGTCCTGTAAATGCATGTGAGACATTTGGGGGTGATGCTGGGGACATCTCTCAGGTGCTCGATAAAACTAATGCGCTGCTCTGCTTTACCAATGTCCATTGCTGTTAATAGTGTCTTCTTTAAACGATGGTAAAGCTAAGTGCATTTCTCAGTCCTGTCAACATATACATTTACATGCCAAAATACCTAGTATAAGGTAAATTGTCATAAGTAAAATTAAGATTCACAGAGTTAAACATTTAGAGGTTTGGGGTTTTTTTCCCCTTGAGAACTTCAAAATAGTCAGCAATTCTTGTTTCATGAATTGTAATTCTACTCATGACTAGTAAGTCTCAAAGTGTCTTTAAGGAATTGAGGATTTTTTTTTTTAATTTTCAATTTTATTTCTCAGTTTTTCTCAAGGTTGACAGAAAGGTTTGTGAATGGGGTGGATATATTAATGGACACATTCTGGAGAATATGGACTGATTTGTTAGATGTTCTTGGAATTGATGGTAAGTGTGATGCCTGTTAACTCTTGAACTATATCAGCCTGTATCAATGTTGACAAGCATAGGCCGAGTGGGAAAATAATTACATGTTATCACGCTGCATTAAACATCCATCAGTGGTATCTCTGTCTGCTTCACATGGCTTTGATTTTGCGATTAGTACCTTCAAACAAGAGGACTAAACTCAGCCATTCCGTTCCTGTATATGTATCTTCAGGATATCTGTAGAACGCATTACAAGTCACGGTTGGTTTCTTGGTATTATCATTAAATGGATGCACATGGCCAGAAACAGTGCAGGGAAATAAAGGAGGACTAGAAGAAGGAAGGGAGCAATTGAGAGCCTTGAGAATATAGCTTGTACAAACAAGGATCTTTAGCCTCGGTATGAACTTCAACCTTAGGCCCTACAGTAGTTTGTCTTTGAAGAAACTTTAGCACCTCTGCTGTGAAGGAATTCATTCGGTTGCATCACTGGAGCTGAGCCAGTAACAGGAAGAAGGTTCATCCAGAAATGGGTGAACTAGCTTTGCCCCTCAATTTAGAAAACACAGTCGTGACCCCACTGCATGGCCCTTTGAAGCTGCACTTGCATTTTTTCCTTTATCACTTAGGCATGCACTCATTAATATTCTGTAAATTTTCCTTTGTTTTTCAGCCTCCAACTTGACTCATTATTTCAGCCCAGCAGCAATTGCCAACAACCCCACCCGTGCTCTTCTGCTGATCGGTGCCATTTTACTTGCCTATTGGTTTTTATCTCTCTTCCTTGGATTCTTCTTCTATCTCCTGCACATGCTGTTTGGTCGCTTTTTCTGGATCGCGAGGGTTGCCCTTTTCACTCTCTCCTGCGTGTACATCCTCCAGAAGTACGAAGGTGACCCGGAACACGCGGTCCTGCCTCTCTGCTTTGTTGTAGCAGTCTACTTCATGACAGGTCCAGTTGGATTTTACTGGAGAAGAAACAGCAACAGCAGCCTCGAGGAGAAGATGGACCACCTCGATAGTCAGATCAGACTTCTGAACATACGTCTTTCCAGGGTGATTGAGAACCTGGACAGAGGCGGTGACCAATGAACCAACCCCTATAGACCACTGTACACCAGCTCTAGAAAATTCCTAAGCACTGTCTCATTTGAAGTTACAAAGCAACAAAACGTCACATGGTAAAAAGTGTGCAAAGTTATAACTTTTCATCATGTGTAAGACTAATTTATCTAGATTATACACAGCCATTATACTGTTAGGAAAAAAAACCAACAACATTTAAAAATTCAGCTGTATATTCAGAGAGTTTTATCCAGTACTAGAATTTTCTCAGTAGAGAAACGCTTACTTTTACAAGCATTGAAAAACATCTTTTGTAAAGTTTTTATAAAAGCAAATTGAGTAGTCTTTCAGATATGGAAATTGAGCTAAACATATGCAAATTTGACACTTAAAAAGTTAAAAAGAAAAAAAAAATCTCAAGCTACCAAACACTTCCATTAAGAAGTAACTGCTGTGGGTCCGCTTTTTTTTTTTAACTTGTGAATGTTTTTGTTTTATTGTTGGCTTTTTTCATTGCCTTGAAGTTGCCTTTCATAGAGTATCAGATGAGGAATTTTCTGGTATCTGGGCCAAAAAATTCACACCATAGCTTTTAATAGGAGGTGGGGAATAAGGGAGAAGGAAAATTTCATAAATTTGAAGTCCTTAAATGCCAGTCCAATATGAGGAAGTGAGAAGTGCACGTGTGGCATTATTTCATTGCATTTCATCTCGAGAACTTTAGTTCAGTGTCTGAAAGGAAATCTGGTTTAATAAATAGACACAAAAGGAAGAGATGTAGTGTGGCAAATTGTAATTCATATTTGCTCTTCACAGTTGAGCATTTTCTAAGCATAATTGCATAGAATGAAACATGATTTTTAATCTCAGGACCCACGTACTTTCTCGAAAGAGGCAGCAGTTAAAAACACTTGCAAATGTATTGTTGCTTAAAGCTTTCTCAGGACCAATAAGCGGCAATAAATTATCTTCAGGAAGATCTGGATTTTTTTCTAAAATTGTAATAGTTTTATAGGAGCTTTTTGCTTGAAGTCTGTGTCCTCACTACATTGGGTTTTGGGGGAAGGTGAGTCACCTTATGAGAAGGGTTTATCAAACGGTTATATTTGGAAGTCATGTAGGAGCTTTGAAGCAGTTTTGTTTTGAAGGATCCTATATGTTCGTAACCGTAGAATTAACTGTTTTGGTAGGGTGTCCCTGGCTTTGTAAGGTTTGTTGAAATGCATTGAAACAAAGGTAACCTCAGGGAAGAAAGTTGGATAAGCGGTGCCACTCGGTAACCTGTAGCATCCAAGGATATGACGGGGGGAGGGAGGGAAAGCATCTAAACCGTAGTGACGAGCACAGTATCAATACCGCCAGGGGTGAAACGGACCACAGCTGTAGAGCTGCATATTCCATAATGTCTAAACGAACAAGTAGAGAACCAAAAAAAAAAAAAAAACCAAAACAAAAAAAACAGAACAAAAATTGGTGTGTGATAGGGACTGGCTAAAAAGCAAAGGGGAACAAATCCGAGTAGGTGACGATGCACGTGCTGTTGCTTCGCCCGCGAGTGCCGGGTCCAGGGGATGGGCTGGGGCAGCCGGGCACAGCTGGCCACAGCTGGGCACAGCCGGGCGCTCCGTCTTCGGCTTCTGCTTTCGTTGGGTAGAGCTTTTGTTGGGTGTGACGCCTGACTGAATGTAACTGTGGGGTGAATTTATTTTTCGCTTTATGCTGAAGCTTAATACTGTTGTTAAATTGTGTGTTACTTGCCTAACCTCTTTTGGTCTGTATGTGACATTGACATGAAGGATTCTTTTACACTCCATGTTAATGGCCTTTACTCCAGACTGTGATCACTTAAGTTCAACACGGTTGAAGTTCATATGCAGCTGGCACTGTTGTAATCCATTTTTAATTTTTTTATGTCACCTGTAAATCCCCCCTGCATCCCATTTTTTCGAGAAATACATATTTGGAGTTGCAAAGCAACTGCTTTTCATAACTTAAAATCTTTCCCACGAACAGATAAGTACTATGGCAACAAATAATCCGCTTTGCAAAGCTGAAAATGTAGATTGCTGTATGTTCCTTTTTACAGCTCGTTTTCCATAGTATTACCAAGTCTTCCCTGTAAACTCAGTTTTCCCTACTGTTGCGCACAGAGGACTGGGCTAAAACACCAACCTGGGAATTAGGAATTGATTAGCGAAGCTTGTCAGGTCTTTATGCGTTTTGCTAAATTTGAGGCCTGAGGACCAAAGCCTGCAAACCTCGCTCGTGTAAGCGGCTCCATCGACTTCCGTAGGACTACGTGCATGAGTCAGTTTTGCATAGATTCTATTTTATGTAATCCATATTTAACGTTGAAGTTAAAAATACCGAATCGTTTATATATCAAGAGTTGTCTATGATAAAGATTTCCTTTAAAATGCTATATATAAAGGTTAATTTTGGTTGTAGCTTCTCCCTGTCTTGCTCTAATTATTTGCCTTAGTTTTGTAGAATCAGCCCTCCTGTATTAATACTCTTGATTTTGATCACCGTGCTGCTTGAAAAAAAGTATTTTTGTATTTACTTGCGTCCCATGTATAGCAAAATGTTATGTGAAAAGCGGTATATATAAAATTGGATATTTTTAATCAGTATTTTTCCCAGCGCTCAGTTTTCACGTTAGTCGAATTCAGAAGTAATGATTTTTTTTTTTTTTTAAAGCACAATCTAATCTTATATATATATATATATACACTTTAAAAATGCTCTGTATTTTTAAACATGCACTGTAGTGAAAACGCTTTTGGGACATGAATGTGGTATTGTATTTAATCTCTTCCAACTTTTGTAAATACCTTTTACAAATATTTTCCATACCGAGCCATCTAGTTTCCCCGTGGAGGTTTTTGCTGTTTTTTAGAACTGGTTCCAGTGACAGTGGCTGCACTGCTTTTCTATTGCCATTGCTAGGAACATGTCCTGCGCGTTCCCAGCGACGTGCAGGCATCGCCTTGTCACCCACCGATAAACCCAGACACGGGATGTGACAGACTCGCCCGAGTCGGTGGCAGAAATGGGGCTAAACCCCAGATCTCGCCGCTCCCGGCCCTTTGCTTGAACCACGGCAGCCTCCCCGGCGGGCAGCGTCGCTGCGCTTCTCTGCCATCCGCCTCCCTCGGCCTCGCAGCCAGTGCGAGCTGCTCGCGATGCAGCAGGGGTGACCCGGGGTGCAGGGGGACGGGGTGACGCTCCTCACCTGTCCTCCCCTCCCGCGGCCTCTGGCTTGGGGAAGGTTACCCACGTAACCAGCTGATGGAACCATTTAAGATGGGCTTCAGGCTGTCCGGTATCAGAAATCCCGGTAGGGTCTTAAGTGTTTTTAAACTTCATGCTTTAAGACCTAATATTGGAAACTACTGTAGTATTTTCGATACATTCACATTTTTGCAAAACTAACATCGGTAGCAATTTCTTTGAAAGTCTGTGCCTCACCTATAGCTAACCGAGCTGTCGTTTTTGGGACGTAACGCTTTTAAAAGTGGTATTGGGTGTCAGAGTGCAACGTATAAAATCTGGTGTAATTCAGTGCTGTAGTTAGTAGTGCGTCCTTCAAATTGTGATTTGCTTTTAAAGACTTGTTGCATCGTTAATGTGGAAAATAGACCAGTGTCAATCTTAGCTCTTCGATGGCGTACAAGTTTTTCAGTGTGATTTGCCTCCCGTACTGATCCGTATTTGGCAGCTAATGACGTAAATGACCATAAGTTCTCTTTGTCTGGGTTGGAAAATAAAAGGTTTTATTGTATCCGCATGTATTTTAAACTTTCGGGTCATTCCATCGCGCTGTGGTGACAGCACGTTTAGAGATTGATCTTTTCCTTTTACGCGGAAATGGTATTTGCTCGGCGGCGGCGCTGGTGGTAGTGATTCCACAGCCGTTCTGTACATCAGACTTCGAAAATTATAGTGTTTCGGTTTGTACAACGGTGTTCATGTAAAAAATAATTTGGTCTGAAGAGATGTGTGTATACTTTTGACATAGGGAAATAGTAGATTCTACTGATGATATCGTTAAGTAGTTACAAATATATCAGACTTATTTTTTACAGAGCTGCACCTGCCTTTATTTATTACTTACCTGACCACCGAATCAATGTACTGCGTAGGTAAATATTTGTAGACCAATTTCACAAATCAACTATGGTATTGTGACAAAGCTTCAAATAAACGTTTACTGAAACTTTGCACCGAGGAATGAATTGGCTTTGTCGGGCGTCTCCGGGGCGGCGGCGGGAGCGGCGCTTCCCGCGCTCGGGGCGGCCCCGCCCCGGCCCCGCCCCGCCCC